CATCAATGCTCTGGGTACAATAAGCAAATCATCATGTTTTGGGATTCTGCCAAGAGAGCTCACTGGAAGGGGGAGGGAGGATGCTGGAAGGTGCCAGTAGCTCATATAATTCTAGCTGCTCAGGAAGCTGAGATCTGAGGATTGCAGTTCGAAGTCAGTCCAGGCAGAAAAGGCCAAGAAACTCCAACTAATGAATGTCCAATTAACCACCAAAAGGCTGGAAGTAGAGCTTGGCTCAAGTGATATAGCACTAGCCTTGAGCAAAAAAGCTCAGGGACAGTGCCCAGGCCCTGAGTTCAAGCCCCAGTACTAGTATCAAAAAGAGAGGGGTGAGAAGAGGGAGACAGGGAAGGAGAGAGAGAAGGAGGGAAGGAGGGAGGAAGGAAGGAAACACTCTTATATGTTAGATGTGGAGTAACTAAGGCAATCTTAGAGTCATGGAAAAATTAAGTTGTGTAGGAATTAGTCCTTTTCTATTATAGCAAAAATCTAGATAGGCCCACTATTGCCTGTAACTAAATCCTATATAGATTTTTTTAATCTACTCACAAGCTAGGGACCTGTGACTTATGCGTATAATCCTATATTCAGTAAACTAAGATCTAAGGATTGAGGTTCAAAGCCAGCCTGGACAAGTGAGGCTCTGAGTCCTAGCCCTAGATCTGGCAAGCACATGCATGCACGTGCACACGCACACGCACACACACACACCACAAATCTACTTATTTATATGATTTAATTAGGTTGTCTTCTTTTAGATAATATTTACACGGTTCTGGATAGATAATTAACTGTTTAGGTTTATTATCATAGGGAGATAAAAGACAGAGCCTTCACTAAAAAGCTGACAGGACAGCGAAGATTTAGAACTTCCTTTCCTACAGACAACCATGAAGCTTTAAGTCACATGGCCACAAAGGGCTTGTTCAAAACCCTTGTCTGTTATCCAATCCACATGCCCAGAAATGTATCTCCAAAGGCTCCAGAGTATTTCAGAAATCCTATACTATCTTAATTCATTTGAAAAAAAAATCCAGTCTGGAAATAATTTCTGAAATTCATTCCTCACCTACAACGTAAGGAAGAAAATTCTTCCCAACGCTGCAGTAAAATAAGTGTCCCAAAGGATTTATAAAAATACATGTGTATAGGGATTACCAAGTAACAAATGAGGAGTCAAGGCATTTGGTCAGAAGCACCCATGAATACATTCTCAAGAAATACTTGAATGGATGTCTTGACAACCTGATCCTGTGGTGACATGCATTAATGAGTCTGCTAGAGAGAAAAGCAAAGAAATGCTCCTAAGTCAATATTTACCTACATTCCCAACCTCCTCTAACGATAAAAGACCCTAAGCCTTCACCATTATTGGATTATGAACCTCTTTCCAAGAAGAGAGAAGAAAGAGAAAGGAGGTGAGAGGAAAAAGAGTATTGTCTCGGCTATCCAAACATTAAATTCATTCCCCTGACATCCTGACAGTAATTGAACTGAGAGGGATTGCATTTTGTTAAAAAAGACTTTAAAAGGGTTGTTGAGAATTCCCACTACAGCAGAGACCTGTTTGTGATGAGCACGGCTTTCTCCTGATTTTCCTTTCCTCATACCATTGCTCGTCCTTTTGACAGAACAAAACCCCTAGAAACACACCTAGACCCCACCAATAGGTCAGCCACTTGAAGTCCTCCGCGCTATTTTCGCCTGTGACCTGCAGGGTGAGTCTGTAACCCACGCTGATTCATTCCACAGGCTTAGACCTCCATCATCTTAATAAAGCCAGAGCCAGAGCCAGGCACCCTAAGAGCATCATTTTCCTAATCATGGCAGAGCTGTGACACAGCAAACCGTGAAACATGTAGCTGGGAAAAGCCTAAAGAAAAGTCGTGTGCTTCTAATTTCTGAACATTCCCTGCCTTGTGGCTGGAAACCCAGCGCTGGAACAAAGTGTAATGGCCTGACAGCGTGTGTGCCTGAAGACACTCAGTGACGAGGGTCTCCCTCCGTGAGGAGGCAGCCTGCGCCGGCCTGCAGCCTTGCCAGGGCTGGCTCCAGGAAAGCCTAGGCAACAGCTTCTCCCCGCGGTTTCCCTGGCTTTAGACAAGGGAAGACAGGGCATCCCACGGTGCCAACCTCATTAGAAAGGACACGGCCCTTTCTTCCTGGAAAGAGTTCTGTTAAATAAAGCACCAGAGCTGCTTTCTTCAGCATCAGAAAATGAGCTGCTTTCAGAAAGATAAAAGGCACCATTAGATACCAAATTAACACACACACACACACACACACACACACACACAAACAGGCTTCCTTAAAAGTTCACACTGAGAGGTGTCATGTGATCCAGCAATTTCACTCCGTTTTTGTGAGTGTGTACCAATCCTGGGGCTGGAACCCAGGGTCTGGCTGTGGTCCAGGAGGTTTTATTGCTCAAGGCTAGCACTCCACCATTTGGGCCACAGCTCCACTTCTGGCTTTTCTTTGCTAGTTAACTAGAAATAAGAGTCTCACAGACTTTCTTGCCCAAGCTGGCTTTGAACTTAGATCCTTAGATCTCAGCCTCTTGAGTAGCTAGGAATAAAGGGAATAAGAGAATAGTTAGCAGTTAGCAATTTTATTCCTAAGAGTGGAAACTTTCAAGAGAAGTAGGAAACACAAAAACTCAGCAATGAAAGCCTCATCACAATATTACACATCATAGCCCAAAGGTGGAAGCAACCCAAATGCTCATCAATTGGTGAAGCGAGCAACTAACATTGGTATAACTATACAAAGAAACATCAGTCATGAAAAAGAAGGTACTGATACACACTATAAGATATACAAGTTGATATAATATGATGCTAAGCGAAAGACTCCAATTATAATTGTTTATAGGAAGTATCTAGGATAGGCAAATCCATACAGACAGGAAGGAAGTTGGCAGTTGCTGGTAGAAGGCAGACAGGAAGTGACTACTATAGAAACAGTTTCTTTCTTTTCTTTTTTTTTTTTTTGGGGGGGGGGTCAGTCATGGGGCTTGAACTCAGGGCCTGGGTGCTATTCCTGAGTTCTTTTGCTCAAGGCTATTGTTCTATCACTTTAAGCCACAACATCACTTCCTGTTTTCAGGTGGTTAATTGAAGATAAGAGTCTTACAGCCGTAGAACTGTGATCCTCAGATCTCAGCCTCCTGAGTAGCTAGGATTATAGGCATAAACCACTGGCTCCTGGCTTATCTTTTCTTTCTGTTCCTTTTTTGCCAGTAGTAGGGCTTGAACTTGAGGCCTGGGCATTGTCTCTGAGCTCTTTTGCTCAAGGCTAGCGCTCTACCACTTTGAGACATAGCTCCACTTCCAAGGGTTTCTTTTTTCTTTGGGATGGGGGGGAGGTGTCCGGTCGTGGGGCCTGAACTCTGGCCTGGGCGCTGTCCTTCAGCTCTTCAGCTCAAGGCTAGTGCTCTACCACTTGAGCCACAGCGTCACTTCTGGCTTTTTTCTTTTTGCTTATGTGGTGTTGAGAAATCGAACCCAGGGCCTCACGCATGCAAGGCAAGTGCTCTAGCACTGAGCTACCTTCCCAGCCCCACAAGGGTTTCTTTACTGGGGAATAAGTACTGCAGTGAAGTCACATATCTCTGAATATATCAAAAACAACTGAATGATGTTTAAATAAGGTAAAATTTAGAGTATGTAGATTACACCTAAACTTTAAAATGTTTAAATATAGGAAAAATATACTTTATATGTATACACATTTATTTTGAAAGAAATAATTAAACATACTTGTCAATTTTTCTCCACAGTGAGTAATTATTTATTATAATTCCAGTTAAAGAATAACCACACACTAGTAAAAGGGAACTTTACTTTTTTATTTTTTTTGTCATTCTGGGGCTTGAACTCTGGGCCTAGGCGCTGTCCCTCAGCTCTTCAGCTCAAGGCTAGCACTCTACCACTTGAGCCACAGTGCCACTTCCAGTTGTCTGAGTGGTTTATTGGAGAAAAGAGGCTCATGCCTTTCCTGCCTGGGCTGGCTTTGAACTGTGATCCTCAGATCTCAGCTTCCTGAGTAGCTAGGATGACAGGCATGAGCCACCGGTGCCCAGCGGAACCTTACTTTTTTTTGAGGGGGGATCAGTACTGGGACTTGAACTCAGGACCCCACACTTGCTCAGTTGGCTTGCTCACTTGGTGCTCCACTTCTTGGGCAATGCCTCCAGTCCTGCTTTTTGCTGATTATTCTGAAGAAGGAGACAGGCAGACTTTTCTGCCTCCAATTGCAGTCCTCTAATCTCGGCCTCCTGAGAAGCTAGTCATAAGCCACCAGGCATCCAGGTTTAAATTCTTTTTTAATTTATTTGTTATCCTAGGTGTCCACCACCCATAACGACAATGCTAAGGACATCATTTCCACTCAGTTTCTGTGTGGAGCTCCCTCCCAGGTAGGAGCAAGGTGGTATGCACAAGTTTGAGTTCTGTAATTATTTGCAATGCTTGCTTGGGCTTCGGGGGGCCTCCCTGGATTTGCAGGGCAAGTTCAGAATTCAAATGATGACTCCATTCAAGGGAATGATGGATCTGAAAAGCTATTTCCTGAGAGCAAATAGAATGAGAACACCGTCCCCATGACTGGGCAGAAAACCGACTCACTCCATCTCATGACTGATCGCTCTTTCAGACACAGCCTCCTGACTTTGTCACTAATAAGAGTAACTCCCACTTACGTAGCACTTACTGTGCTCCTGACCTTCTTCTAGCAATTTCCATAGACTAACTCACTAAATAGAGAGGGCAATGGTTTTAGCCCCATTATACAGATGAAAAGACGGGTTCATAGAGGTGATAGAATTTACTCAAGATCGAGCAGTCATGAAAGCGCAGTGCTGGAGCACAGGCCACGTACTCTGGCTTCAGCCACTACATTGAATCCCCAGCAATGATGTGAACCCGGCTTACAACGGAGTAAGCGACAGCTCCCCAGCCATGCTTGGAACTACCCATCATCCCCAGTGTGCTACCTACCTGTGGACCACGCCAGCCCTGTGCAGATGCTCAACTGCAGAGATGAGCTGCCGGATGTATCTGCGGGCTTCTGACTCCTCCAGCCGCTTCTTCTCATAGATTTTGTGCATTAGGTTGCCACCAGGACACAGCTCCATCACCAGGTAGTAGCTGTTTTCCGTTTCTAAGATATCCAGGAGCTGTGTGATGTTGGGGTGGCGGATCATCTGTTGGATCTGCCCCTCTCGCCTCAGATTTTTGGTGACATAGGTGTCCTTCTTGGCTCTCTTCTTATCGATGACTTTTATGGCCACCTGAAGAGAAACCGAAGAACATGGCTGTTTTCAGGCCCTGCCAAGCAAAGGTTATTTCTCAACTTCTCTCAAGAATGCTAGGAAAATGATATATACAAATCCAAAAGACAAAAGACCAATGCAGCATTGCCAGAAGAAATATTGGATCTAAAATAGTATTAGGAGCCAGGGGCTAGTGGCTCACGCTTGTAAGCCTAGCTACTCAGGAGGTTGAGACCTGAAGATCCCAAGTAGAAAAAAGCTTTAGCACTCAAATCTAAGAGACTCTTATCTCCAACTAAGTAGCAAAAAGAAAGCAATGGAGGTGTGGCCCAAGTATTAGAGCTCCATCCTTGAGTGAAAAAGCTAATAAATAAGAGCACCAGTTCAAGCTCAAGTATCAACATTAAAAATAAACTTTAAAAAATAGATCAGGGCTCAGCAACAGTGCTTGCCTATCATGCATGAGGCTCTGGGTTCTAATCTCAGTACTGCAAATAAATAAGGCAATGATTAAATAGAGTAGCACTGGTGTAAACATCTGGAATAGCAGCAGGGGAAAAAAAATCCTTTAGGAAGCAGGAGAGTGGAATTTGCTTTAAGCATCTTGCATGGTGTCTGGGTAGCTTTCCCTGGGGAAGGGGTGGGAAAGAAACACATTTCTCAAGAGCAAAGGGCTCTCTTGCTCCCTTTCAGGACTGTCCACCATCCTACAACATCTCCAGCATCCCCTCTGCAATCCCTGGTCTTCTTCAGTTCTGGGATCCATTAGGGTACACAAGGAGGTATGGCGCAAGGATGAGGCTCTTCCGGTCTCCCCTGCCCCCAGTCTTTCTGTACCCTGAGCAGCGGGCTCAGGTGACCTCTCACCCCGGGTAACTGGCCTTTCAGGAGACCTCACTACCCATCCTGCTGTCAGCTGTCAACCACACATCTCAGCTGCCCACAGGAAGCTCCTCCTAGACCAATTCCCTACAATAAATCCGTTCGAAAACATAGGTGTAGAGCCAGGCATTGGTGGCTCACGCCTGTTATCCTAGCTACTCAGGGGGCTGAGATCTAAGGATCAAGACTTGAAGCCAGCCCAGGTCTCTCTCTCTCTCTCTCTCTCTCTCTCTCTCTCTCTCTCACACACACACACACACACACACACACACACACGGGATGGAGGAAAGGATATAAGGAAAGGGGAGACGATCTTCTCCACTCAAAGCTGTACTATCTTCTCTCTCTCTCTTTTTCCTTTGGGGAGTCACTATTTCACCCTCCAAGTCCTAAAACCCATTATTCTTCACTATGGGGAGGGGAAACGTGTGTGTATGTGCACCCACACAGGAGTGTTTGCACATCAATAACAAGATGAACTAGGGCTTTGAGCTCTCATTGCTTGCATGTGGCTGGTATTCTACTACTGGACATGTCTCCAGTCCAGCTATTTGCCAATTAATTGGAGATAAAGTCTGGGGGACTTTTCTGCCCAGGCTGCCTTTGAATCTTCATCCTCCAGGTCTCATTCTCTTGAGAAGCTAGGATTACAGGCGTGAGCCACCAGCACCTGGCCACCTATTCTTTCTGATGGCTTTACTTCCTTCTCTGATGAAACAGAGATCTGCCAGATGCTGGGTTGGACCCTGCCTCCAAACACCCAAGCCACGGTCTCCCGCAGACACTTTCATAGCCAGCTATGGCAAGAAGACAACAGACTTTCCATTTCTGTTTCCTTCCTTCTTTTGGCAACTATATTTTCTGTTATATATTCTAATTACATAGTGCTTCTTTCATAGGCAATGCACAAGATTAGTATAGGATATATATAATGGAGGTATATGTATATATATATATATATATATTAGAATAGGGTGTAGGTATATACATAAATGATAGATAAGTAAGTAAATATACATTTGCAGTGAGAGATTCCAATGTTAGTTTGCAGACATAGTTCAAGATAAAATCATAAAAGCTTGCGCTGTGACTACTGTTCATGAAAATGTATTGCATGCTTGGAAATTGTTGAGAGTAAAGTCTCTGTGTTCTTAAAATACACACAACACAAAGACACCCAGACATACACACACACCCATGTCCCCCACTGAGATAATGGCTATGCTAATGAGCTTGTGAAATCATATCACCATCTATACACATATCAAAACATCACACTAAACACAGTAAATACATGTGCATTTTACTTGTCAACTAAAACATAATTAGGCTATTAAAAAAAAACAATGAAAAGAATGTTTTTTAAAAAATGCACAAGTTGCTGGGCACTGCTAGATCAGAACCATAATCCTAGCAACTCAGGAGGCGGAGAGCTGAGGATCAAGATTTGAAGCCAGCCCAGGCAGGAAAGTCCTCAAAAGTCTTAGCTACAATTACAGACACACACACACACACACACACATACACACACACACACACACCAAGGGCAAACTTTAGATTATATTAATAAAAAAGTCTTGCCCTGTTAGCCAGATTGAACTGTTAAGAGTTCTGCCCTAGCTTCTCTGGCCCTCAAACTGGTCCTTGAATTCAGTCTACACTCCATTTGGAAATTAGTAGGCTGAACTCTGGTTGCGTTTTTAATTTTCAGTTTTTGCATTACTGGCAAGGGAACTGAAGGCATCATTCTTGCTAGCAAAAAGCTCTACTACTTGAGCCACATCCTCAAGTCCTTTTGTTGTGTTTCATCCGAAACAGGATCTTACACCATCACCTAAACTGGCCTTTAACCATGACCTTCCAACTTGTCTGCTGAGTAGCTGGGATTACAGGCGTGTGCCATGCTTTCTTTTTTTCATCAGTTTTAGGACTTGAACTCTGGGCTTGAGCGCTGTTCCTCAGCTCTTCAGCTCAAGGTGAGCGGGCTACCACTTGAGCCACAGCGCCACTTCAGGTTTTCTGGTGGTTAACTGGAGATTAAGAGTTTCACAGACTTTCCTGCCCGGGCTGGCTCTGAACCAGGATCCTCAGATCTCAGCCTCCTGAGTTGCTAGGATTACAGGTGTGAACCACCGGCGCCCGGCTACCCTGCTTGATTGCTGAAGCTTTGCCAAGCTCACTGCTGCCTAGAGGAGCATTTCTGTCAGCCACACACCATGGGTCCACCCAGCCACCAGGCTGTCTTGAGTGTGATCTCCACACTCCCCAGAGATACATGCTGTCACACTCTAAGTATTCCTGCTGTCCTCATTCAAGTCATCCCAGTCCTCAGAGGCCAAGCCAAGAGCCATCTCCCTTCTAGAGACCCTTCCAACTGCCGCTTCCTACCTTCATGCACACAGCATTTGTGCAACATGAGAAACTCAGCATTTTAAGGTAGGGTCCAGCCCCACTACACCACACACAGGATCTAATCAACAGGTGACAGATAGCTTGCTAATCCATGGAGTCATCAAGGTAAACTTAGGTGTAAACAGCTCAATCTATTATCACTTTAGGAGAACCAGTTTCAGCCGGGCACTGGAGGCCCATGTCTGTAATCCCAGTTACTCAGGAGGCTGAGATCTGAGGATCAGGATTCAAAGACAGCTGGGCAGAAAAGGCTGTGAAACACTTAACACCAATAAACCACCAGAAAACCAGAAGTGGTGCTGTGGCTCAAGTATTAGAGCACTTGCCTTGAGCTAAAAAGCTCAGGGACAGCGCCCAGGCCCAGAGTTCAAGCCCCATGATCAATGACAACAACAACAAAAAGAGAATCAGTTTCAACTTAATAAGAGAATTTTAGGCCCTTCCTGTAAAGATAGAAAACAGCCAAGGCCAGGTCCTGGTGGCTCACACCTGTAATCCTTGCTACTCAGGATGCTGAGATCTGAAGAACACAGCTCAATGCCAGCCCTGGCAGGAAAGGCTGTGAGATTCTTTTCTCTAACAAACAACTCAGAAAATGCCAGAAGTGGCACTGTAGCTCAAGTGGTAGAGTGCTAGCCTTGAACCAAAAGAATATCAGGGACAGTGGCCAGGCCCTGAGTGCAAGCCTCAGGATCTGCACACACACACACATACACACACACACACACACATACACACACACACACACACACACACACACACGATCAAGGCAATCAGCAAAGAGACCTTGACCAGCATGGACAGGTCTCTGCATGTCACAGCACCACCCCAAGTCTGCGGTCAGTGCGCCCAGCACACAACATCTGTGGCTTGGCCCCAACCCATTCCATAAGTGCTAGAATAACAGCTTTATAAACCATGTTTATTCCTGACCGCTGTGTGTGTGTGTGTGTGTGTGTGTGTGTGTGTGTGAGAGAGAGAGAGAGAGAGAGAGAGAGATCATCCTTTTTGGGCAATGGGGGTGGGGGCTGAAAAGTAGAATTAAGTTATTAAGTTCTGTCTCTGCTTGGCTTGGTGGTTGTAATGTTTTAAAAATTACACCCTTTGGCAATGAAATCTTAATCTAAGTACTATGGATAAACAACTGTCTAAAAGCCAGCAGTAATACGATCTGCCTTTTAAAAAAAACAGAGCACACGATTATTGTTAGGATAATTTATTTCGCTCGTTAATTGCCTGTGCTCGTTCGAATACTGGCCACCCAAAGACATTAAGTGCTAATCCCCGGATTCTGTCAGTGAGACTTGATTTGGAAAGAGAGACTTTGCAGATGTGGTCAAGGACTCGAGATGAGATGAATTCCTGGGTGGGCCTTGCCTGTCTGCACCAGGCTCTTTCTCCATTGGGGCAGAGGAAAGTTTTGCACAAATCCACAGAAGAGAAGGCATGTGCAGGAAGAGCCAGTTTACAAGGATGGAGCCACAGGCCAAGGGAGACTACCAGCTACCAGAAGCTAGAGGAAGCAAGGGCAGATTCTTCTTCAACAGTCTCTGGAGTAGGTGTAAGTCCTACCAATTGCCTGGTTTGGGGCTCTCAGCATCCAGAACTCTCACTTTTCTACTTTAAGCCACCAAGTGTATGGAAATTTGTCACTGCAGTCAAGAGAAACTAACTATATGTTTGAAGAAGACGACAAGAACTTTATGGACAGGAATTGTCGCCTGATTCAGCACCTCTAGGGCACATTTCCAGGCACTATGAGACCTTCCATGGTGATCGTGAAAAACATCACTTTTTTTCTTTTTTTGGTGGTACTAGTGTTTGAACTTGAAGGCCTTAATCTTACTAGTCAAGTGCTTTACCTCTTGAGCCACGCCTCTATCCCTTTCTGGTTTTTTTTTTGTGGGGGGCTGGAATAGTGTCTTACTTTTTTCCAAGGCTAGCCTGCATCACAATCCTGTTACTTAAGCTTTTAGTGTAGCTAAGGTGACAGGAGTCGATCAGAGAGCAGAGTGAGGCGGGGTAGGACAGGATGCGGTGGGAGCGAGGGATGTCTCATGAACATTTTTTGCCTAGATTGGTTTCAAACCTTGAAACTCTCAATCTCCACCTTCCAAGTAGCTAGGATGACAGGCATGAGCCACCATGCTTGGCAAAAACACCATCCTTATCAACTACAGCCTCTTTCTCCTCCTCATGCTTCTCATTCATTGCAATCCCAATGCTGGTGCTCTGCCACTCAAGCCACACCTCCACTTCCAGCTTTTTGCTAGTTAATCTCAAATTTATCTGCCAAGGCTGGGTTCAGACATTGCTCGTCAGATCTCAGCCTCCTAAGTAGCTATGATGTACAGGTGTGAACCACCAGTATCTGGCTAGATCCTGTCTTGAGCAATGGAGACAATTCTCTGTGAAATCACAATTCTAGCTCTTCATTGCAGCTGAAATGCAAAGCGACCCCCACCCCCAATTTTCCACAGCAATCTGTTTTCAAAGATTTCCCCCCACATTTCCAACAAAGGAAGTAGCAAAGTGTTGTACAATGCTAGGACATGACAGTTGGAAGCAGATTATTCATTTCTCAAAAGTTAACGGATCAAATAATATGGTA